ACCTACAATCATGGCCTTATACTCGGCCTCATTATTAGTAAACCTAGAAGTTTTGATAGATTATCTAATAGTGTTACCTGTAGGTGGCTTCAAAATAATGCCAAGCCCGGACCCTCTCACATTCGAGGCACCGTCAGTGAAAGGGTCTATACTCCGATGATGTACCCGATTTTAGTATAAGTTCCTTCTCCACTTCGGGTATGAGGGTTGGTGAAAAATTGGCACAAAGTCAGTTAAGATCTGAGACTTGATGGCTGTTCGGGGTTGATATTCGATATCGTACCTGCCAAGTTTGACGGCCTATTTGGCCAATCGGCCCGATAACTCGGGCTTGTGCAAAACATTTTAGAGAGGATACGTGGTTAACACACATATGGGGTGACACTGGAAATATGGCTTTAATTTTCTAGACGCGCTTATTAGTGCAAGTGCGAACTTCTCTAAGTGTGGATACCTAGTTTCAGTATCTCCTAAGGTTCGACTTACATAATAAACAGAAAACTGCATACCTTGCTCTTCTCGAACTAGTACACTACTTACCGCTATTTCGGACACATCCAAGTATAAGTATAGCTTCTCACATGCCTTTGAAGTGTGGAGCATAGGTGGGCTCGATAAGTACCGCTTCAATTCCTCCAATGCTTGTTGACATTCCATGGTCCATGTGAAATCATTTTTCTTTTTGAGCAAGGAAAAGAACCCGTGGCTTCGATCTGACGACCTGGAAATGAATCGGCCCAAGGCGGCTATCCATCCAGTTAGCCTTTGTACAACTTTCACATTGTCCATGATAGTGATATCCTCGATGGCCTTGATCTTGTCAGGGTTGATTTTAATTCCTCGATTTGATACCATAAAGCCGAGGAACTTGCCCGAGCCGACCCCGAGGCACATTTTTCTGGGTTAAGCTTCATGTTATACTTCCTCAAGATTTCGAATGTTTCCTGCAAATGAGTTAAATGGTCCTCTACGCGCAGGGAATTAACCAACATATCGTCAATGTAAACTTTCACTGATTTACCTATTTGTTCCTCAAACATTTTATTAATTAGGTGTTGGTAGTAGCTCCTGGTTTTTTTAGCCCGAAGGGCATTACATTGTAATAGTATGTTCCATACTTAGTGATAAACGAGGTCTTCTCCTGGTCTTCCGGGTTCATCTGAATTTGATTGTACCCGGAATAGGCATCGAGAAAGGTAAGGATCTCGTGGCCAGTCGTGGCCTCGATTATGCGAATGATGTTAGGTAGTGGAAAAGAGTTTTTAAGGTATGCCTTGTTCAAATCCTTGTAATCTACACACATTCTAAGTTTGTTCCATTTTTTATGTACTACAACTACGTTGGCTAACCATTCGGTATATTTTACCTCCCGAATGGACCCTATTTTAAGAAGTTTAGTTACCTCATCCTTTATGAATGCATGCTTCACCTCGGACTGGGGCCTTTTTTTGCTTCATCGGTTTGAATTTGGGGTCGAGGCTTAGGCGGTGTGTTATTATTTTCGGTAGGATCCCTGTCATGTGTAAGTGGGACCAAGCAAAACAATTCGTGTTATCGATAAAAAATTAAATGAGTTTTTTCCTGAGTTCGGGGGTTAGCCCCGTCCCTAGGTATACCTTTCGCTCGGCATGTACTCGATTAGTATGTCTTGTTCTAGCTCCTCGATCGTTAACTTGGTTGCGTCCGATTCTTCGGGAACGATGAAAGTTCGAGGAGTAAGGAAATCCTCTTCTTCTTCTTCGATTACATATTTCTCCGATTCGGTCGAGGCTAGGGACGGTGATTGCTATTTGGCTATCTGCTTATCTTTACCCAATTTTTTTGAAGTTGAAAGTGCTGATATCGACGTCACCTCATCGACTGCAAACATTTTCTTTGCAGTGTGTTATTCCCCGTAAACTGTTTTCACACCATTCATTGTCTGGAATTTCATCATTGATGAAGGGTCAATGGTACTTCCCTCATGTTGTGGATCCATAGCCTTCTGAGGAGTGCATTATATCTCATGTCGCCTTCGATGAAATGGAATTTTGTATCTTGGATGGTCCCGACCACGTTTACTGGTAGGATTATCTCCCCCTTCATTGTTTCGCTTGCCATGTTGAAGTCATTTATGACCTGAGATGCAGGCACAATTTGGTCCTACAGGCCGAGCTGCTCTACGACCCTCGATCTGATTATGTTTGCTGAGCTACATGGATCCACTAGAACACATTTAACTTGAATTTTATTAACAAAATAGAAATTACCAGGGCATCGTTGTGCGGCTGAGAAATGCCCTCCACTACTTCGTCGTTGAGTGATAGGATGACTTCGGGCACATAACTCCGAGTCCGCTTTTATCTGGTGATCGACACCTTGGTACGTTTGAATATAGGCCCTTGTGGAACATCGACCCCGCCAACGATCATATGAATTACATGTTGCGGTTCTTCCCGCTCATTCTTCCTGTTAGAGTCTCTTTCTTTGAAGTGATTCTTAGCTCGATCTCTGAGAAACTCCCGAAGATGGCCCTCATTAAACAATCAAGCTACCTCCTCCCTCAGCTGTCTGCAATATTCGATCCTATGGCCATGTGTACCATGATATTTACACATCAAGTTTGGGTTTCGTTGAGAAGGATCAATTTGTATAGGTCTACACCACCTAGTGTCTTTGATCATCCCGATAGCCGATACAATCCCCGATGCATCGACACTGAAATTATACTCTGATAACCGAGGTGCTTCTGCGGGATCGGTATGTTTATCAAAACCATTCTTACTCATAAGTCCCTGAGAGTTTTGCCCCCGATCATTCCGAGGGATTGCGCCCTGAACCATTGTTTCTTCGATCTGCAATATATGCTTGATACCGCTCTTTGTTCGACCTCTGTTCCTTGTCAGTATCCCTCGAGGCTTTAACTGCCAATCCATTTGGATGAACTGAACCCGAGAGGGTTCCAAGCTAGTTGTCCTCGACTCAGATCTTCGATTGATAACAGTTATGCACATCTACCCAAGTTAAAGCTAGATATTCGATCAGATTTTGCTTCAATTCCCATGACACTATCGAACTCCACTCGTTCAACCCCTGTATGAAAGCTTGAATAGCCCAATCACTCGTAAATGGTGGTAACTCCATTCGCTCCATTTGAAATCAGGACACAAACTCCCTCAGCATTTCGTTATCCTTTTGTCTTATCTTGAAAATGTCTGATTTTCTCATTGCAACTTTTATGGCCCTGGCGTGCGCCTTCACAAAAGAATCAGCTAACATAGCGAATGAATCGATGGAGTTTAGTGGCAAGTTGTCATACCAAATCATTGCTCCCTTTGGTAGAGTTTACCTAAAAACTTTCAACAAAACGGACTCGATCTCATTGTCTTCTAAGTCATTCCCCTTTATCTTGCACGTTTACGTAATGATATGTTCATTAGGATCGTTGGTCTCGTTGTATTTAGGTATATCCGGCATACGAAACTTTTTTGGAATGGGCTTCGGGGCCGTACTCTAAGAAAAATGTTTTTGCACGAACTTTTTTGAATCCAAACCTTTTAAGACCAAGGGTGACCCCAATATTTGATCAACTCGGGAGTTATATGTCTCCACTTTCTTGTCATTATCTTCAATCTTTTTCTCTCCCGACTCGATTCTTTTTGTGAACTCTTCGAGCATCTTCATAATCGTGGGATCAGTTGCCGATTCATTACCATTTGATCTTTCTAGTACCGGCTCAGTTCGGCGAGTAATTTGTGCGTTAGCAACCTGTTAAGCCTGTATCATCTCGAATATTACATGGAGACTAACTCCCTCGTCTCCTATACCCTGTGTTCCCTATCCACCAAATCAAACTTCCCTGCGTACACTTCCTCCAGAGTCTGGGCCTAAGTCTGCATTCAAAGCAATGTGTGAACTAACGTCGACTGGTTCTACAATAGGCACTTCCCCGGGGTTAATTGGTGGTACACCGGCTCCCGGAGCAATTACATTGTTGTTTTCCCCGTAAAATCTAAGACCATCATCGCCATGTACAGGTGTGTTTTGTGAGTTTGACATGTTTTAACCTGAGAACAAAAATTCTTGACAAAAATAAGTGTGAAAATAACGTGTGTTATCAGAATCGGTACTGAAATAATCACTATTATCTTTAACCCCACGGTGAGCGCCAAACTGTTTACCCCTAAAATTCGAGTAACAATTAAATTTGTATTGAGGTCTTAAAAACACGTGATTTAGTCCAATACTAACTGATAACCAAGAAATCAGACGTATAAATTAAAGAAGTAAGTTGAATTAAACCAGTAAACAAGCCAGTCTTGACATCGAGCTAAGGTGGCCTCGAGGCAGGTTAATAAGAACAATAAAGCTAAAACATAGTTATGATGAGCAGTAGGCAAGAAAGTGAAAATGTATATTCTCTTCTCAATGATTGATGATCTTACAAATGAATGGGCTCCCCTTTATATAATAGGGGAGTCCTTTATAAGGTATATTTTTATTTTTAGTAGAGAATCTTATTGGGATAACTGTCTAACCGCTTAGTACAAATTCGTACAAACTCGTACAAATCTATTCCGGAATTTATGTTGTGATCTTAGGGACGTTGCGGGAATCTTGCTCCTTCTGTTACAAACTCATAGCGACATCATCTCGGGGTTGGTCATGCTCGGCCTCGGTACTCATCGCGCACTTCGATCTTCGAGCCTTGTACTCCGTCATCGGGCTTGAGCTTGGTCCATCGGACTTGAGCTCGGTCCATTCTGAACTCGGGCTCGAAGCGACTCTTCGAGCCTATGAAATCGGGCATACCTGATTTTGACCGTATACACACGGGGCAAAAGAAGTATGTCTACCGTCTATTATCGTTGGATGAATAGTACACTTTCCCCCATTGAAGCTAGACGTATAGTAGTACGAGATTGTATACCAATAATAAATATGAATAAATAAATCTTCCTAAAGGAGCAGAAAATGGGAGGGATCCGTGACGTGTAAAAAGAGCGCGCGTGGGTAAGGTTTACAAGTTGCGCATTGTTGAAGTATCAAAATGAAAGTGCCATTTTCCATGATATCACATCCCTGACGTCAACAATTTGGTGAATGACGGACTGAATTGCATTATAATCTAATGATCAACAATCAGCCATAGCCTAGTCAACAGCGAATAGACTACGTAGATTTAGAGAGAGGAGATAAACAAGAGAAGCATTAGATAGCTAATTATGGACGGAGAGAAGAAGAGGAAGAGAACAGAGAACGGCAAGGCTAACGGCGGCGATCGGAACAGGCATGAGAGAAAAAGTGCTGCGAATGAGCATACCGCGGTGTCGCCGCCGCCTTCGGAGGCGGAGGTCGACGAGTTCTTCGCGATTTTGCGGAGGATGCATGTGGCAGTGAGATATCTGCAGGAAAGCGGCCAAAAGAGAGTCGTGCCAAAAGGCGACTTGGATCTCAACACTCTACCAGGAAACGGAGACTAACGCCGTTTAATCTTAAGTGAGAGAAGTGCGCACTCGGTGCATTTTAGCCGGTGAAGATCCTGGAGGTTAAGCTTTTGTTCTTCTTATCGCTTATAACAAGTTTAAAATCTCTTTTTTTTTAGAGAATTCTACCAATTTGTTTGGTTTGAAGTAACAAAAATCTCCATATGCTTCAATATTGCATCAGTTTTTTTCTTTAATTTCTTATGTAATAAAACAAAGACTTTTATGGAATCAGATTATCTAATTTTATGCCACTCGATCTCTTAAAATAGTATTTTAACTTAAATAATGATGATCATGACATAAAAATCAATGAGAAAGCAACGTTTATCTACTCTCTTTAACTTTCTCTTCCTTTCAATAAATGCTTTTTTAATTTCTTTTAGTTTATTGTACACAGTATACTTACGATATTTACTTTTTAACTTTTTACTATTGGAAAAGGATTTGAAGAAGTTGATTAAAACGAGGTAGCATTAGATTTAACAATCTTATGTATTATATAAAATACTGTAATGATCAACACGAGAATATTATAAAAGTACTAAGGGTAAATTTAGACCGGTCAATATGGGTTTGGCTCGTTGGCCCGGCTCAGCCCAGCCCGTGATTTAGCAGGGCCAGACTAGAATTTTTGGAGCTCATTTAAAAATGAGGCTTTTAAGTCCGGCCCGTGAGGATGACTGAGGCTGGGCTTGGCCGGTCCGTGGGCCTAATAAAAATACGTATTTAAAATATATAAAATATAGAAATCATATGACACAAAAAATAACAAGAAGAGTATCCTAAGCTTAAAGTTTATTAAGCTCATCATATTAAAAGATCAAAGTCTTAAAACGTTAAAAATTAATTATTCTTAATATTTAACTAGAATATTGCATACGAATTGTAGATGTAGAAAAAAGTGAAGATATTAAGACAGCATTCTCATAAGCAGATTCAAATGTGTTTTATGAATATGATGTGTTAGATATCTCATAAGCGTCATGAACTTTCTTTTGAATAGTTTGTTTTGAGTTTTGACTTTTAGTGAATGAAATATAGTCTTGTCATTTACTTTTTTTAGTGTTTATTGTGATATATTAGAACCGTATAATAAGTTAGTATTAAGTTTTGTGAATTTTTTCCAATAAGATTTTTTTAACTTTTAAATATTTATGTTTTTTTAGTTTAGAAATTAAAGAAATAATATAAAATTATATTTTAAAAAATGATGGGCCGGCCCGTGGGGGCCGTAGACCACATAGTGCTGGGGTGAGTTGATCATTATAAGACCCATCAAAATAGTGGGCTAGCCCAGCCCAACCCGTAAATTGCTACCCGACCCCACCCATATTGATAGCTCTAGGTAAATTATAATTGAATCAAAACAATTAGTCGTAAGCAGCAAATGTCCCTGTATTTGCGTATATTTAATCGTGTATCCCTTTTATTTTCTTGTCTATTAAAGTCAAACATCTCTATAACAAACTCGTTTGTTCCGAAGTATTGTTATATAGAATATATATTATAACATAATATGAAAATTAATTCGAAAAAAACTTATCTTTTATAGTGAAGTGTTGTTATATATTGATATTATTATAGAAAGGTCTGACTGTATTCGTATGTATGCAGATTAAGGTTGCACTATATTTATGGGGTTTTGACACAGTTACCCACAAAAACAAAACTATTTACCCTTGTCTACCAATTTATCTTTCTACTCATAAACTAATTATTTTTCCTACCCATAGTAGTTTTTGTGGAGAATTTTTTCTTTATTCTCCGATTTTTTTTTACTGTCCGATTAAAGGTCCCTTTTTTTCTCTCTTTTCTCTCTTTCTCTATGTTAATTAATTTGTGGTTATCTAGTTAGCATCACTTTAAGCATATTATTAGAATACTTGAAGTTGCAACCGATTATTTTCTAGTTTGGGTCCGTGTTAGTGTTTTTCGGAGTTTGTCGTAGGTATAGTGGCTGTGGTGTGGGATGGTAGAGTAAGGTTATATCCTTGAGGGGTACCGGGGGTGAGTAGGGGGTGGGGAGAGGGTCAGGGGTTGGGACGAGGGGAAAAGACGGTAAGGGGAAAGAGGGAGCTTGTAGATTGAGGATCGGGTCGTGGAATATAGGCACGCTGACGGGTATGTCTATTGAGTTGACAAAGATTCTCCAGAAGAGAAAGGTTAATAGAGCTTGTGTTCAGGAGACTAGGTGGGCAAGGACGAAGGCGAGAATGCGGATGGGTATAAGTTGTGGTACTCTAGAGTCGTGAGGGGTAAGAATAGAGTGTGTATCTTGGTGGATAGAGATCTTAGAGAGTCTGTGGTTGAGGTTAGGCGAGGGAATGATAGGCTGATGTTTATTAAGTTGGTGATCGGTGAGTACACCCTCAATGTCGTTAGCGCTTACGTGCAGCTAGGGGGCTTGGATGAGGAGGTTAAGAGGCGCTTTTGGGAGGGCTTGGACGAGATTGTGCGTAGTATTCCACCTACTGAAAGGTTATTTATTGGAGGGGATTTTAATGGCCATATTGGGGCGGCTGCTGGTAGTTATGGCGAGGTGCATGGTGACTTTGGCTTTAGGGATAGGAACGGAGGAGGTACTTCGCTGTTAGACTTCGCTAAGGCTTTCGAGCTGGTGATTGTGAACTCGACTTTTTCGAAGAGGGAGGAGCATCTGGTCACTTTCCGGAGTTCGGCAGCGAAGACTCAAATCGATTACCTTCTCCTCAGAAGGTGTGATAGAGGGTTGTGCAACTGCAAGGTTATCCCCGGAGAGACCCTCGCGACTCAGCATAGGCTCTTAGTGATGGACATCAGCATTATGATGAAGAGGAAGAAGAGGTATGCTCGTGGCCGACCGAGGATTAGATGGGGAGCTTTAACCAAGGATAAAGCCCGGGAGTTGGAGGGAAGGTTATTCGCTATGGGAGCTTGGAGGAGTAGTGGAGACGCGAGCACTATGTGGTCGACGATGACGAACTATGTGAGGGAGGCAGTGAGAGAGGTGCTAGGTGTATCGAAGGGTTTTTCTGGCAGGCACCAAGGAGACTGGTGGTGGAATGACACAGTCTAAGGTAAAGTGAAGGCGAAGAAGGTAGCGTACGCGAAGTTAGTAGGGAGCACAAGCGAGGAGGAGTGGAGTGCGGATAGAGAGATGTACAAAGTGGCTAAGAAGAAGGCAAAGCTGGCGGTCACGGAGGCTAAGAATGCATCGTTTAGCCGTCTATACGAGGAATTAGGGGAGAAAGGCGGGGGAAGGAAGTTGTTTCGGCTGGCTAAAGCGAGGGAGAGGAAGGCCCGGGATCTGGACCAAGTAAGGTGCATCAAAGACGAGGATGGTAGAGTATTGATGGGAGAGTCCCAGATTAAGCAGAGATGGCAGACGTACTTTTACGGTCTTCTAAATAAGGAGGGGGACCGGGATATAGTGCTAGGGAACTTGGGGAATTCGAAGAGTCCCCGAGATTTTAGGTATTGCAGGCGCATTAAGGTGGAGAAGGTCGTAGGGGTGTTGCGTAAGATGAGTAGGGGGTAGAGCGACCGAGCCAAATGAAATTTCGGTTGAGTTTTGGAAGTGTGTGGGTAGAGTAGGATTGGAATAGCTGACTGGGTTGTTCAATGTAATTTTTAGGACGAAGAGGATGCCGGAGGAATGAAGGTCGAGTATAGTGGTATCGTTGTACAAGAACAAAGGTGATATCCAGTATTGTAACAATTATAGGGGTATCAAGTTACTTAGTCATACCATGAAAGTTTGGGAGAGGGTGGTGGAGGTGAGGGTGAGGAAAACGATGTCTATATTCGACAATCAGTTTGGGTTCATGCCGGGCCGCTCCACTACGGAAGCTATCCACCTTATTAAATGGTTGGTGGAACAGTACATGGATAAGAAGAAGGATCTGCACATAGTGTTTATTGACTTGGAGAAAATGTATGATAAGATTCCTAGGGAGGTGCTCTAGAGATATCTTGAGGCGAAGGGCATGTCGGTATCCTACATACGAGCGATCGAGGACATGTATGATGGAGCTAAGACTAACGTTAGGACGGTGGGAGACGACTCAGAGCATTTCCCGGTTGTTATGGGATTAAACCAAGGCTCAGCGCTTAGCCCGTTCTTATTTGCCTTGGTGATGGATGCTTTGACACACCATATTCATGGGGAGGTGCCATGGTGTATGTCATTTGCTAACGACATAGTTCTAATTGACGAGGCGAGGGCTGGTGTTAACGAGAGATTGGAGGTATGGAGATAGACTCTCGAGTCTAAGGGTTTCAAATTGAGCAGGTATAAGACAGAGTACCTGGAATGCAAGTTTAGCGCTGAGTCAAGGGATGTATGCGGGGACGTGAGGCTTGGGCCACAGGTCATCCCCAAGAGAAATAGCTTCAAGTACCTTGGGTCGATGATTTAGGGGGACAGAGAGATAGACGAGGACGCCACTCACCGCATAGGGGCGGGCTGGATGAAATGGAGGATTGCATATGGAGTCTTGTGTGACAATAAAGTGTCACCGATACTCAAAGGTAAGTATTATAGAGCTGTAGTTAGACCGACCATGTTGTATGGGGCAGAGTGTTGGCCGGTTAAGAACTCCCATATCCAGAGGATAAAAGTAGCAGAGATGCGGATGCTGAGGTGGATGTGCGGGCACACTAGGATAGACAAGATTAGGAATGAAGATATTCGGAAGAAGGTGGGCGTCGCCCCTGTGGATGACAAGATGCGGGAAGCGAGGCTTAGATGGTTCGGGCACGTGTAGAGGAGAAGAATCGATGCACTGGTGAGAAGGTGTGATCGGTTGGCCGTGGTGGGTACGAGAAGAGGTAGCGGGAGAACTAAGAAGTATTGGGGAAAGGTGATCAGGCAGGACATGACACGACTGCACATTTCCGGAGACATGGCCCTTGATAGGAAGGCCTGGAGGTCAAACATTAGGGTTGTAGGATAGGGGTAGTAAAATTTTCCTTACTTCATTCCGGGGGTGAGGCGGGGTTGGATTAGGGTTGGTCTTAGATGACTTGCAATTTATGTTGGACCCACACTATTCTTGTTGTTTGTCTTAGCCCCGGGCCTTAGATAATGGTTACTGTTATTGTATGTCATTCATCTTTCGGTTTTTATGTGTATGTTACTATTACGGTTTCTATTGGAGTTACTAATGAATTCTCTCCTCTTTTTTTTTTTTTTACTTTATTTTCGTCTTTTTGAGCCGAGGGTCTATCGGAAACAGCCTCTCGGCCCCTATCGAGGCAGGGGTAAGGTCTG